CTCCTGGCCAGGACAAGGCTGACAAGGGTGGGCTGGGGCAGGGGCAACATCACAGGTTCAAGTCCCAACTCTAAAAGCCACTAAAAATGTCTCCTTCAGCCAAACTTGTCTTTTAGGGAGAAGGAAAATTTCACTAATGCTCCGTGTTAAAAAAGCCCACACTAAGAGAAAAACCTTCCCTTTGTTGCTAAGGGACTTGCTTTGTATCTGCTCAAAACCTTTAAAATGCCACCATTGTATTTAGGAAAAAAACCAAAAAAACAACCTCGAGACTGAAGCACCTCATGTGCTAAAGATCAAGAGACAGAACACACCAGTTCCATCCTTCCTTTGCAAGTACTTTACTCAGGCCTGACTTCGTTTTGTGTCTTGGTCCTCGATGCTTTTTGGCAGTTTGCTCCAGACTTACTGGCAAGAGCTAAAAGGTTTCTATTTAGCTGGTGTCAGCTGAGCATCTGTGCCGGCAAGAACTGGAGTGGGGGTGATCCCGACTGCCTTTCAAAAGCACATTTCTCTCTGGGAGCTGCCACAATAATTTTAAGTCTGAGCGTGTTTGGGTAGCGGGGTGACTCCCTCCGGAGGGGTGCCCCGGCGCAGCGCTCCATGATCGGCGGAGGGAAAAGGAGCTGGGAACGCTCCCTAACCTGTGACCCTGACAACAAAAGGCAGGGAGAGCGTCTAGACCTCCAGTCTGACGGGGAGTGAAGGGAGCATTGTGCTCCGGCACACTGGGGCTGCTCACACAAGGCGGGCACAGAGGCGCTGCGGGGCAGGAGCGGCCAGGCAGCCGCAGCTGCAGCACCGCTGCCGGGGAGGGGGCACGCACACAGCCTCCCTCCCCAGCTCTGCAGGGTCTGCGGGGCAGCTTCCACCTCCCAACGCTGCTGGAAGCCGTGAAGGTGAAGGAGCCCATGGGATTTCCAGCCCCGGGTTTCCCTTTGCCGCCGTGTATTTCGCGCACAGCATCCTCAGGCTCCTGAACGCAGAGATCCTGCGATTCCAGCCCTGCGCGGATTGCCAGCAGGAAAGAGCAAAAATGGAATATATGCTTCCTTCCACAGAGCCTTTATTTTCTGCTTTCCCTGTCTGGCTCAGTTAAAAGGGGACAAACCAAGATGTTCCCTCTCTGCCAAGCCTAGAGATCACCTCAACATTTAGAAAAAGCTGAAGTCCCAGCTTTAACATGTATTTCTTGTGTGACCCTGATCAAACCCCTCGGCTTCCCAGTGTTGAGGTCCCTACATATAAAAATATAAACACCCTAAATAAATGGTGGAGCTAATGGCAGGTTACTGCCAGGGAACTACACGAAGAGAAAATAAAAGACCTATTAAAAGCCCTTGTTCATCTCTGCCAGAAAGAAAACACTATTACCCAGTACTTAAAAAGATGCATTAAAGGAGAGAGAGCATCCGGGGGGGTTAAGGACACCCCTGGCAGAGCAGTGAGGGAAGCACTCCCGGCCAACCACCACCATGTGCCCTCAGGATAAGGATTTGGGGTGATCCCATGGCCCTGACCATGGCAGCACAGGCAGCAGGAGCAGCAGCTGCCCCGAGCACACCCAGCACAGAGCGGGGCCGAAGGCAAACCTGGGAACCCACACATCAGAACTCTGGGCAAAACAAACCCCTTTCATTTCACTGCTCCTGGAGGAAAGGTGAATACCTGGAAGATGTGCTCCAGCCCAGCTGTACAGATTAAAACCAGTGTGACCCATGGTGGCACCCTGGGCATCAGTGGCACTCACTGGCCCAGTGGCACCTCTCCACTTGGAACCTGCAACCCTGGGCACAGCCAGCAGCCACCTCAGGCAGCTGCAGGGATCCCCCCTCCTTCTGCCAGCTCCAGGCTGGAGCTCTGGAGTTACAGCCTGAGACCAAGCAAAACCAGACCCAGCAACTGAGATAGTTTAAACAGCTATTAAATCCCCACCTCCTTCTGGTGAGAGGTGATTTACAAACAGCTGATGGTGAATACAGTGAATTCAGAGCACGAAGGAGTTCCAGTATCCTGGTAGCCACCAGATACCAATCCTTCACCAGCACACCTCACCACTTCCATACCTTACACAACAAAAAGGTGAGGGACGAGGATTGTCTTCTCCCCCTGCCTCTATTGCTTCCTACCCCATCTCCAAAACATCACCAGTCCTGTGGCAACTCCTTCCCCAGGTGCTCCAGGTCCCTGGGACTACTGAGGCACCAACAGAGCCAGGAGCTGTGGCAGGACACTGATGGTGACACCGTGGCAAGATGCCATATACCTGCAGCCTCAGCAGGGTGCAGCCAGACCTTCCTCACAGCCTGGCACCTGCCATGGCAGCAGCTCATCTCCTGACAACTGCCTGGCATTTATTTTTGGTGCACATGCACAGGGAGACTGAGAGATCCCACACTGGGATTTTTATCAGCAGTGCGCAGCTATGGAAACAAATGCATTTAAGACTAATATAACAAAATGCTCAAACCCACAACAATAAAATAAAGAATGGTGCACACTGGCATTTTCACATTGCAGTGAATGCAGAGCATGGCCCAGCTTCTCCCAGAAATCACCAAACTTTTAAGAAATCACACATTTTCATGTACTTACATGTTTAGCTACGTGAATTTTGCTTGGTGTAAACCCCCCACCCTGCCCTTTGATTTTACAGAGTTCAAGGAATGCATCTCCTCCTAAATAAGATGAATAGCCATTTGTTGAGGGCATTCTCTCCTTCCCCCTCTGTACCCATTTCCAAGCCACCCTCTGTGAGAAGCAGGAGAGCTAACACAAAATCCACCAGAAGCTGCAGCACCTCTTCTTTTAGTCCCCATGGAGGGGACACAGTGGTGCCTGGCCATGCCCCAGCACACAGATCTGGGCAGAGGCTGCAGCTCAGCCAAACTGCTCCCTCTCAGCAGGCACAAAAGGCACCCACAAGTCATTCAGAGGAATCCAAGAGCCTGACATCCACACCACAGACACCCAGGAGTTAACCAAGGAGATGGTGGAATACCTTAAAAGCCCAGGGAAAAAAGCCCAGTGAAAACCAAACCTCCCTTGCGGGAGGTAGCGCTCTCCCTGCCCAGGTTTGGTGTTCTGACCCACCAGGTGCAGGGCTTTATCCCAGGTGGCACAGGGATGGGCACGGGCAGCTCTCTGGGATGGGCAGGGGCATCTCCCCCTGGGGTTCTGGCTCTGCAGGCAGCACCAGGATGCTCCGGGAGGACGCGGGTGGTGGAGGTGGCGATGTCTGGGAATGCCGGCCCAGGCTGGAGCTGCAGACAAGGACCCAGACAACAAAGGCGAGGCAAAAAGCCGTCTGATAGAGGCAGCCCCGTCTGGCAGGCCGGGCTTTCAGAAGCCTGGGCATGCACTGATGTCTGCAAGCACAGCTCTTCGCTGGGCGCACAATTAACCCCGCAGCAAGATAACTGAAGTGTCCTGCAGCACACTCCAAACAGTATCCATCTGGTAAGATGAAAAAAACCCAAAGAGTACAGGAGTGCAGCAAAGGAGCAAACAACTGGAGACTGCAGGGAATGACTCTACAACAAACAAAAATTATACTTAATTTTCTGTTATTTATATTCTAAGAAAACCGCATGTTTTCACTTGCATCTCTGCCTCCCTCCCCGAGGCACAAACACACACACACAAAATGGGAAGACCAGGGAAAGCAGGAAGAGCAGCACAGCTCGAACACATCCCCGCTCACACACTTTCCCAAATCACAGCACAAGAAAACGGGTGTGAGTTTTACAACCGTGGAGCAAAGGCCAACCACCTTTTGCTGGAGCAAAAACGCTGCTCCGAGCGCTGGGACACCACGGCTACCCCTGCCCGCCTGATCTGCTGAGATCTTAAGGCATTAGTATAAAATAAATGTAAATCAACCACTGCCTGCTGCAGGACAGCTTCCCTGCGGGCTGCTGTGAGTGTCCCAGCTCCGGGGCTGATCCCAGCCTCAGGCTCCCCTGGTTCCCCTGCCTGCTGTCTGCACCACGATAACGCTGCCTGCCGGGGGACCGGTGGTGTCTCACAGCTTTTTTGCATAAGCAAGGGCTGTCCTGCTGTGCAACCAAATTGTGCCACCAGGCTCGAAATAAAGGAACTGAAATGATTATTTTTTTCCCCTCTTATTTTAGATTATGACTTTTGCTAATTGATGCTTGATAAAAGCCTAATGAATGATTTGTAGGCATTATAGGCATGTTAAGGATCCGAGTGTGGTTATAAGCCAAGGTCATAAGCTCTATCGACTTTCCAGGCTCTATAGCAATTGATTTGCTATTTATTAAAGTCATTCATTCACCACTTGTTAACAATTTATTTAGCTGGTTCTTCCCCAGCAGGCTTGGGACACCACATTGAGCAAAGACACCTTAGTTTTAAGGTACTGTCATAAACTCAATTCTAAACTGAGAGACAGACCCATAAACACTATAGCAGTGTCTTTTTAAAGGCTCTTTTGCAAACAGGTTCAGCTCAAATCCAGGAGCCTGGTTTAACAGGGCTTCCAACGCCCGGTTTTGTCTGTGCTGAACACGAGCATCTCTGGCCACACTCAGCAGAAGTCCCACATCCCATGACTTAAAAAGGTGCAGGATGTCAACTACTTTCATAAAATAGAGTGACAGTCTCTTTCCTCAATGTAACACTGCTCATCAGTTTGCCACTGTGGCAGCAAATGAAAGAGTACCAGTACTTAAAATGACACTCAGCTTTTGAACTTGTTTCTACGCTGAACAGCAGGAAAAGAAATCCCATCCAGGATTACCATAAGTGCAGCCAGATATGGATAGACAAAGAACAGCAGGTTTGCACAGCCAGCCTCTGAAGACACCACTGCATCCCCCTCTGCACCAGAGGAGCAGGTACCTGCTGCTCTCGGGCCAGGCAAGGTCCCACCCGTGGCGTGGAGCAGTAACCGGGGAGTTTACGGTACAGCAGCTGCAATCATGCAATCAGCCTTCGTAATTAGATCTTGGCAACTCTTGAAATACTTCACTTACCCAGTTTACCTGGAAAGGTGCGACCTAAACATTCAGTGCCTGGAGACATTTGAAAGAAAAACAGAAAGGATCCGTCAGTGATGGGAGCCACCTCCGAGCGGCTGCACACACACCCCAGCTCCCCTCCTGGGGACTCGTCCTGGCAGAGCTCCCCTGGCCAGCAGACACCTGCTCCCACCATCTCCACGGGGCAGCAGTACCAGAGGTGCCACCACTCCTGGATAATGACCCCACGTGCTTTTCCCACACCAGACATTGCCACACAAGGTCCCGTTCCTCTCTCCCCTGCTTCCCCCAGGACGCTCTCCTGATCTCACCTGATGGCACTGCCAAAGCTTCACAGAGGTTTGTGAAGTTTCTGGGATTACTCAGCCCACCCCAGAGACCTCCCTGCCACATTCAACAGTGCCAGACTGCCTGTCCATGGCCCAGGGCAGCACTTTGCACTTCAAGGCACTGGTGGATGGTTTATCACACTCTGTCTCCTCTGCAAACACACAGAGCTGAGCCCCACATGCTGCTGAGCCTGGTGAAAGCTCAGCGTCTCCTGACGCCCCATGCCCACAGCGGGGGCAGTGGCTGTGGAGTGCTAAAGAGCAAGAGCCACAGCAAAATCTTGCACAACACCCCAGGAGCAATGCCCAGCAGATGTATTTTCAAGTGAGGAGAACAAAGCAGCAAAAAGTTTGCAATAAAAGACAACTCATGACTTCTCTCTCACCCATCAGTGTGTGACTGCCTGCAACATGAAGGGATTACAGGACATGGATCCTCCCCAGTGCCTGGCAAGCTGAGACTCTGCCTGGCTGGGAGCTCTGCATCCTGCAGGAGGCTCGCCAGAGAAACACATTCAGGATTCTTTTATGAAGCCTGTAAGAACTGTCTGTCACTGATAATGCTTAATTGGTACTAATTAGTGCAGTCTGACCGTAAGGAGTTCTACTGGCCTATAAAAGTGGCCTTTAACCCGAGAGCAAGGGAGGCAGTCACTGCCAGACACAGGACCACGGACACGCGGCCTGCTCCCCACACTGCGCCTGCCTCTGCAGCAACACAGCAGGCTGGCAGGGATAGATCAGCACATCACTGCTCTCAAACAAAGCCTTAAAAGTTACTTCCCATGCACCTGGGAGGACAGAGAAAACCAGCTTTTTAATCCCAGGAAAAGATTAGGGATCAGAGAGTTGCTGTAAATTACTGCAGCGGGTAAATAACGACGGGTGGCAGGCTGGGCTCACTGACGGGAAGTCAGGCTGATTCAGATGCTTCACATGCAGGTGTTGCAAAGTGGGCTTGCAAACATGAGGTGTCACCTGAACGCACACGGGCAGCCTTGTGCCTCCAGGCCCATGTGCAGCACCACCACCACCCCTCCGGAACGGGCACCGACACCGAGCGCGACAGGAAAGGAAAGAAAAGAATTCTGCCCAGCCAAACACCAACGTGTGGCAACAAGCTTGGACCTCCTCCTCCTCCTCCTGCTCAGCCAGCTCGCTGCACAAAGCCTGGAAAGGGGTGGGAGGCTGGAAAGGAGTGAAAGGCCAAAAGAAGACTGGAGGCCAAAAAGGGTGGGAGTCCCAAAAGTGAAACATAGAGTCTGAGAAAAAGTGGATGCCAAAATGGCTTGGGAGACCCAAAAGGGTGGGAGTCCAAAGGAAATTGAGAAAAAGAGACGCTGTGCATGCAGCTGGCTGGATCGGGATCAGCTTTTCTCTGGCTACATTTCCAAAAGGGTAGAAAGCAATGTCTCTCCCCTCCCTGTTCCACAGCCCAGGTGATGCAGCGTGACACCCTGTGCACGTGTGGGCATGTGTTCCCCATCACGTCTCATCCAAGATGTTTGGCCATGGTCTGGGATGTGTGGGAGAAGCCTATGAAGTCAGGCAAGGTTTTGGGATGTTGCTTCTCTCCCCTCTTTTAGCACTGCCTCTCCCATCCTCACATCTGCCCTTTAAGTTCAGCCATGCATTTGCCAACTTTTTAAATGCAAATGAGAATTGGCACATAAAGTCGGTGCTTTAAACCTGACCAGAGCCACCCTCAGCTCTCCTCCCTCCCTCCTTATATGCATAAACTTTTTTTATGCAATCGGCAGCAGGGAAGAGATCCAGGGAGTGGCTGAGCCGTGCCCGGAGCCCTTCTGCAGCCGCAGCGCTGCCAGACAGCTCCATGGGAAGGGTGGCTCAGGCTCCCTGCCTACCAGCAGCAGCATGGAACCAGTAATTACCCTGGCTGGACCAACACCTGCTCGTGGTTTTGTCTTACACTGTTTGTGCAACCCAACAGGCTGCCAACAAAGCAGGGATGTGCTTTGCCTAAACAGGTGAAAACATGAAACAGGGAACGGAGCTGCCGTGTTGGTCCCACAACGCCTCTGTGCAACACAGGCTGGAAAATCACTGCTGCTTCAGCCTGCAAGGCTGCAGAGCAGGGGTGAGCATGGCATGCACTGAAAAGGCAGGAAAGGAGGGAAAAGGGCTCTGCCCATCTGCAGAGCTCAGCTTCTGGATCCAGCCCCACACTGGTGCGGGGCACTGGGATGTTCTTTGCTGAAACACCAGCACCACAAAGCCTGGCTTGCCAGGAGAGTCCTGCTAAACCGAGCATCCCACATGGGACACAGGGAGGATGTGACAGCCCTCACCCAGCCAGGGCTGCCTGCAGAGCAGGGCTGCTCCCAAAAATGCCCTGTGCCAGTTCAGAGCAGAAGTGCCCATTCCCATGCCAGGGACCCCCCGTGCACACGGAGCAGGAGCTGGGCAGTGGTGTGGGAAGGGCAGCGTGAAGACCATGAGTGACCAAGGGCAAAGACCCCAAAGGAGCACCTGGGCCAGCCCCAGTCTGGCAGAATCAGCTCTAACCCCACCAGGTCACACCCAGGAGACACTCTCCCCCCATCAGCAGATGGGATTTGTTGTAGATGATTTGTCCTGGAATAAAAACACCAGCCCCACCTCTTGCAGCATATTTACTGAAAGCCAGTAGACATTAAACAGAGGCAAAAAGTGTATCCCAGCAACATCTGGAATTTATCCCTTCTCCCTTCTGCAAAAAAAAAAAAAAAAAAAAAATAAT